CAACAAAGTACCTCCAGGTATTTTAAGACCAGGGTAATGACAGGTTATTATTCCCATTTTTATACACGGTGAAAAGAGACACAGGAGGTCAAATGACTCGTACCTTAGGTTACCAGGAGGACTATGACAGAGAAATTATATCATCCAGATATTTCCAGTGCCAACAGTGTAAGTACTCACACTTCATCTGGAGTTACTCACATAGTTGTCCTGGTATAAACAGACTTGGTCACTGCTGCTGTAACACAATTTGCATTGATAAAAGCTGTTCTTGCACTAGGAAAATTAAAACTACATAGTCTAGACATAGCCTCAGTTGCAGCAGTAGGTCTGTTTTACAGCACTCTTACCAGAGCAGCTGTTGAAAAAGAATGAGATGAGGAATGAGTTAAATCAATATATATTTTAAAGGATTAATTAGGTTATTAATAAATGCTGGAATCTGAGCTAGAAAGGACAAGGGATGTATTATAGTTCCTCTGTAAATCATACCTTCAACTGGGAGTATAAGAAAAGGTGATTATTTGGACTATTAAAGTCATAGTGACATTCCAAGTCTATGAATCTGTGTACTACAGTGTTATTACTGCCTTCAGGTGCTACCTACAAAGAGTTGCAATCAAAGACTTAAGACTCTCTAACCATTAGTTCCTATCTTCAAAGGCTCTGCTAATGGGTGCCCTGACTAGCACTACGGCTTATAGGTCATGGGTTTTTTTTCCCCTCCTAGATTTCTGTGAGTACAGCATGAGCGTCCTCCACATCAAATGCATTCTTGCTCTAGTAGCCACTCAACACAATCCCAGAAAGCAACATCAGGAAAACAAAACCCAAACTGCCTCACTTCCCTGATGCCAATACCACTTCTTGAGACCTCATAATTAGCTGGCATGCACTTGATTGAAGAAGCTCAGGGTTGCCCAGGGTGGTTCCTGAACAGGCTGTCCAATGAAGCAGCCCCAGCACCACCAACACAACGTCCAAAGGTGGTGCCCCTTCTCACAAAAAATTCCTGGGTGGTGGCTCCCCTGCCTGATGGTACGAAGGGTGAAGAATGGCCTGTAAGTACTGCTGGACTCACTAGCAGAATAAATGATGGGAAGGCCAACAGTACTGCCCTCCTTCCAAAAAAATAAAGCACGTGATAGGTCTGGGAGGAGAAAAGAGGAGGGAACATCCCGCAGCACTATGGGAGGTGATGGAATGGATATCCAGGGTACATCATAAATTCTTTCCTGTTGGGGTTGGTTTGGATTTGTTTTGGGGTTGTTCTTTTTTGTTGTTGTTGTTGCTTTGATGTCCAAGAACTTAGGCTCACTTTTTTAGGCTCCAGAAATGGAAGTCCCTGATCCATTTTGGAGGCAATTTATGTAGCCAATCACTACCTAAAAAGCCTAAACCAGTTGCATTTTAAATTCATACATATATGAGTTGTTCATACATATTCTTGAGTTGTTCATATGTTGGTTTATAAGTCTTGAAATACCAGAGAAGTTTTAGCATTAAGAAGACAATCCAATATAATATTTGTTTTGAAGGGCTCTTCACTGGGAAATGTCATTTTTTTTATATATTATTAAGAAAAAAAAACACCAAAAAACCCAGGAAGTTTTTACAACTTGCAAGCACTAAAGAATAAATAAAACAAAAAAAGTAAAATTCAAAAATTCATAAAATCTGTTTTGTCAATAGTGTTTAAGTTCAGTTTATCATCCCTGCACTTACAATACTGGATAGATATGAATAAATAGGTTATCCCAATATAAGGAAAGGATCATTAAATTTTACAGCTTCAGCAGACAGATTTCAACAAAAATAATTTGTTCCAAAATTAAAATCGGAGTTTGTTAGCAGATACAGACCAAAAAATTACTACTTTATATAAGCTGTTTTAGTAATGTACTCAGGCAACAGAAACATTACCGGATGGCAAATAATCCTGCATCATCATAAACAAGATAAAATTAATCAGGATAAAGAAATCAGAATCAACCAATAGACCAACACTTATAAAAATGAATATGACAGAAGGAATTCATGGACAATTCTTTGAAACAAAAACCTAAATTTATTTTTTTCAAATGGGTAATAGTTCACAATCTCTACTTTCATAAAACATCTAAATGTTTTGAAGATTATTCAAATGATATTAAAAAAGGCGTGTGAGGCTTGTGTGAGTAACAGCCTCAGGTTAAGATTTTATTAGAGAGTCAGACACACTGGGAGAGTGTCATTTCTCCCTGTTTTCAGGCAGCAAGGACAATGAACAGTACCTGCAAATTGGATGAATGCGTTTGGTTTCTTTTGAGTTTCTTCTAAGCTATCATTACAACAGGCAAATAAAAAGAAGAGAAGGTCTTGATTTGATTGCTTGATCTTTGTGTTGGCCTTCCCTGACTAGTCTTGGGTTGGGGGGGGGGGGCAAAAAAATCCCACCCTAGGATAATTCGAAATGCGCCTTTATTTACATGTAAGATTATGTCTCTTATGAAACAAGGAATTAAGCAGACCACAGATTACACACAAACTGCAGCAGTCATGTAACCATATGCTGTCTGCCTCCTAACCAGCTCTCCTTAGCAAATAAAGACAACAGAAACCTGAATTTTGTTCTATATGGCAAATGTAGTCCTCAACCTCATAATTTTTACACTGAGTTTAAAAGAAGGCTAAAATGGATTTTCAGAATTAATATAGGTTTGCTTTTTGCTAGTTAGTGATGATAATATACTGGGAAAGATTATATAATGAAAAACGTAAGAGATGTGCTGTTGCTTTCAATGGATTTACACACTGAAGTTAAACCTAAGAACTAACAAATCAGTAATACAAACTGCCAGTCTTCTGCTGGTGTTTGCACCACATTTATCATTGTGTTATCTAAATTAAAAGATTACCAGGACCTGGTAGAGTTCCTTCCTCACAGTGGTCTGAGGCGCAGATCACATAAAGCTAAAAATAATATACATCACCTTACAGGGTTGGGAACAACGGGAATAATCCCAGTGAAATCTGGGATTCAATGTTTCAGTTTCATTTTTCTTCTTTCCCTCCAACCACACACCCAAAATGTACAAACAACCACACACACAAAATGTACAAATTGCTTCTGAAGTAACAACTTCAAAGTAGCCATGCATACAGTTCTGAGGTAAGAAATGAAGTGTTAAGAGTGGGAATGACTGATCTTTTGAGTTGCATTCAACACGGTGCATTGAAATTAAGCTGCTCTGAAGCTACTTTTCTGTTTAAAAGAAGCGGGCAATGACTGTCCGGTCCCTATTCAATATCTGAGTACCTCTTGGACCACTCTCGTTACAGGTAGCTATTGCTTGCTCTATCTATTCTAGCTGGAGGAAACCGCAGTGTAAAAGGAGGTCCCAGGTACCCCCCCTCTCCTCTTCAGGATAACAGCAGGCAGCTCCATGGAGCCAGACAGTGTGACATACCAACTATACCTGCTTGGTACCAGTAAAAGTCTTCTCAGAATTGTTCTGTCATCCCAGTCACAGAAAACAAGCATAATATCAGCCTCAACTTATCCTTTAGCACTTAGTAGGAAACACTTCTGCTTCTCAGCAGGTTTTGTAGTTTTTCAGTTCAGCAATTCCATCAAGGAGAAAGCAATGAAAGCAGTGAAAAAGCATGAACGTGGAAACACTGATGAAAGCACAATATAGCTTCCCTGCCTCCAACATAAGGAAAAAAGTAAAAGCACGCAAAGCCAACAACATTCAAACCTACTGCTTATCTGCTTACTATCAACATTCCAACCCATCTAATTCATTTGTACTGCTCATCTGGTGTCTCACATCTAACTGGAATGTTTTAATCATCCTGAATTTACTTCTAAAGACAACTTATCAGATCACTCAGTCACGCCATATGATACTACTTGCTGAGAACCACATGATTTGAAAAACCAAAAACAATCACAGTTGGAAGATGGATAAAGAAAACAGGAAGAGTTCTTCAATGGTCAGTCAAAACGAGCAAATCCAAGTACAGTATAGATTGCTATGAAGCTACTTTTAAAAAATAAAAACGTTATGGTAATGAATTAATGGATTATGAAGGGACCTTTCACAAAATACTGTTTGGATTTAAACAAATGAAATAAAAGGCAGAAGAAGCAGCAGACGGACACATATAAAAGGACAGGTCTGAACATTTCCCTCTTGTTGTTCACTGGCACATTTCATTTTATAGTCTAAAGGCTGAAGGAACTTTGGGCATATCTGAAAGTAGCACTACTTTTTGAAAACTGAAGTTTGCTTGTTTATACGATTATCTGAACCCCCGGGGATCCTACAGCTTTCAGTATAGTAAAACATGATACCAGTTTGAATCCCACCAGACAGCTGTAGTAGCTGTACAATATGCCCTGAGTGTAAGATTTCACAAAAGGGCTTGAGCTGGATTAACAGCTTGCCACCGCCTCTGAAGGGGAGAGCCTGTTCCTTCCTCTTATCCACCCATGCTCATCACCTTCTCTCAGCCAGCTCTGTGATCATCGGATCAGATAGTAAAGCAGGTTTAAATCACTAAAAGAGCAAAAAACCAACCTGGTGAAAAAAATAAAAGTATCTGTTCCCGGGTTACCTGAGTTTAACCAGGTCATGTTGTGAATGAATGGGCAGGACTGGCACAGAGAAAGAGGGGGAAATCACATGCTTTGAGGGAAGCCTGGGGAGGAAAGGGATCGCAGGAGCCCCTCCTCAGCTCTCGACATTTGCAAGCTGTATACTTGGCTCAGCCAGAACATGAAGCCATATTCACAGGTAAGTCACTTGTGAACTTTGCTCCCGTATTACAAAACTATTGTAATTTTTATACTACAGTAATAAAAAAAAACTTCTATATGGTGTTTCTAGTTCACAATTTATGAGTATTTCAGTCAGATTATGCCTTTCTATGGGGAAAATAGCCACATGAGGTTAAAGGGTGAATGAAGAAACAGAGGATGAAAACTCTGCAGAAATCCCAGATGAGATGTTTCTGCCTACAGCTGGAAGGAAGCGGGGAGGGTATAGCTGCTGCTGCTTCTTCACAAAATGAGAGCATGGATTTATTTGGAGACTGTTTCTTGGGAGTCACCTAGGGGAAATTTCATGAGGGCTAGCATAAGAGTGCTCCTCAGCAGACAAGCCTTTGAGGCTAATGCAGACCATTTCCAGCCTCAATGGCGGAGTCCCTGGGCATGAGCATCCTGGAAGGTTAATGTACAATGAAGGAGGAAAGAATTTATTTCTGGTTAGTAGGCTCAAACTCTCTGTGATGTTGCTGTCTCTGAAGTAGAACATGTTCATACAGTTACTGCACATCCTAACTAATGGCCCACCAGGAGGAAACTTAAAATTTGCTTTTAGGCAGTTGATGAAGGATCAGCTATGGAATCCTTTGTATCAGCTATTACCAGCAAACATTAGCAACTTATTTTGCTAACCAGTAAAGAAGGTTGGTTTAGCCTCTTTTGAGTGAACATCTGATTTCACAACTCACAAAGCATTTACTGTAAAGACACTCAGCAGAACTGACAGTTCCTTTCTAGACTACCATTCATAGATGTATTTCATTAAATCTAGAAAGGTAGAAGAGTTCAAAACTGGTTTGGGATCTTTGTGAGAAATGAAGTACTGCAGAAGATGGTCTAGTCAAAAAGTGAGTAAAGACACAAAGTCAGATCAGACTTGAAGGTGACACTGTTTGAAATAGCTCTGGGCCACCTTATTTTGGTTATTTATTTAAACAGAATTCCAGCACTCTATTTCAGGTGAAATACAGATGTTTCCTATACTGAGGCATCCTACTGTGGCCTCAGTAGGATGCAGGTATCAGTAATAATTTCTCTTAATTTTTATTTTCACTGACCATATCTTGGAAGAATCCCTTCAAGTTTCTTTCTTAAATGGGAATTCAACAAACAGATGGAACAAATTTCACAATAAGCACAATAAACCACGTCAGGTGTTGTTGCACCTTTTACCTGACAAGTCAAAACTGTAAGACATGCTAAGTGGCCGCATTGCTGGGAAAAAAACAAAAGAAACAGAAACAACAAAAAGAAAATAATTCAGCTATTAGAAAAGCAGACGGGTAAGGAAAACAAGAGATTAACTCCACTTGAGACATTTTGGATTCTGTTGCCTAAATCCAAAATGTGTCAGACATACTATTGCTTTACTGTAGCAAAGCTCGAAGTCTGAAAACTACAGCAGCATAAACAGGACTTGCAAACAGAGCAATTATAAATATTTGTATAGTTGTAGAATGAGATTTTTCTATTTCAATAAAGTATCAATTCAAGGCAAGTATCTTAAAAACCAAATTTTTTCAATTAAAATGACATGAGAGAGGGGAGAGGGAAAAGTAGAGAAAGGAAGGAAAGAGATAAAAAAAAAAGTACAAAGCCACATTTCACACAAGTTTCAGTGACCTGAAAAAAATATATTTCTAATTTTTTTAAGCATAATCTCCAATGATTATAATTAAACTAATAAAGAGAGACACTCAAGCTAAGCTTGAAAGTACTTGAGTAGTACTTTCCTTGAAAAGGATGGAAAAAAAGGCCAAACACAGTGTGATCTGTGCTGCTTCTTGTTCTTTTTTAAAAACCTTAGATGGACTTAGCCATTAAAATGTATCCATAATATTACCCCCTTTTTTCTGGTCCTCTAAGCTTTTTATTTCTAGATAAGAAAGTGGTCAGCTGGATCTTTGTTTCTGGAAATGCCTATGTATATTTCCCATTAAACATTGTAATTCAGGGAGCAGACACTCAAAATATTTCTCAACTGAAAACAAAATTTGAGTGCACTTACCCAAATAAGCATGCCAAGCCCAGTGACAAGAATGCATCAAAACTGACATCAGCTTATATGTCTTAATTGACAGGTGATAAACATGCAAGTTGGTATGAAAGTGGCTTTCAGCCACATATACCACTGTATTAAAAGATGTTTAAAAAAAGGCTGTGCTGGGAGAACTTTTGCTCATGAGAATAAATCTATGTAATGAATGCAGTAGGTGGCTGACCTAGAGCCAGATTTGTGAGTCAGGGTATTTTTCCTGTGGTTCATTAACTAGACGACATCAGCCACAGATAAGAGCTATAGAAACAGTATCTAAATCCCTGTCCAAACCCAGCATAAAGACAAATACATTTTAAAGCATAAGGGTGTTTATCACCTAATGCTGAGTCCTAATTGAAGATTGATAAATCACATACATGAAACAAAGTTTTCTCCAAGCTCCATTAGCTCAACTTGCTTGAGACACAAATCCATGCCTTTTAATTAAAAGGACATGTACCTCAAGTCTGTGTTTGTCTTGATAGCTTACTCTGATGATTTTATGAGGTCACTTGAAAGCTCACTTTGATTCCTCTACTGAAACCTCTCCCTGTGAGAACAGCTACCAAGATTACACTACCATTTCCAAAGAAGTTTTAGCCTGAGAGCAGCCAGCCACAGGCTGGCTTTTCTCGGTGGCAGCCCAGGGTAGAGATCTTACTTGTACACATGTAGTGTGCAGAGCAGAGGGGCAAAGCCTGTGGCTGCTGGGAAACTCATGCCATATGTCCACACATATCACAGAGGAGGAACTGCAAGAGTACAGGCCCCCTCACCTCAATAATCAAGTGTAGTTGTGCTCTTGTCTGCTATAAACTGAGCGACAGTGAATATCTTCTGGGACTTGTGCAACGTACCTTATGCTCCCAAATATTTCACTCAAATGCTCTTCTGATTTTCTTCTTTTAAAAGCAACAAATTTTTCTGTCTGGAAGGTGCAAGTGTCCCACATGGTGTTTCTACTTAGATTTATAATCCTTAAACCTCATTACCTTATATATTGTAACTCTAAACTGCATTCAGTGATCATCTAAATTATATGGCACATTTATTTGTATCATACTGAATGTCACTAGCATTACTCCACTCCCAGTTTTGCACAAACATATTTTATTCTAAAAGGAACTTTGGACAGAACAATCATTTCAATGTGAGAAAAAACAAAACCTCATATTTCAACATAAGAAGAATTATCTTGAAGGCCTTTGATATTTTTTCTTCTTCATGCCAGCAGCAAATAAACACTTGGGAAATAAAACTTGCATGCATCCCTTTTACACCTTCATATGGCATTTAATCCAAACAATTCATTGGACTGAAGGGGAATTACCACTGTTGCAAAATTAAAGAATTTAATTCTTTAACAAAAAAATTAAGAATTGGTGGAAGACAGTTATCCTTCACTGGAGGCCATGCCCTGAAATCAGCCCAGGAAGTCCTAACCTGTAATACTCAAATATTTAACATTGTTTTTAGAAACTGTTTACTAAATGGGTTTGATCTCATTTATATCATCCAGACATTTTAAAAATCTACTAGATCAAATTTGCTGTCCCTGAGAGGACATGATAATGCCCAGAAGAGAACATTTAAAATACTGGAATTGTTTGAAAAAACTGTTTGAAAAAAACAGTAAGGAATCGTTCCTCATTTTTACAAGCTTCCTACATTTGGAAAAACTTCTAGACCTATTAGAAATACTAATTGATACAGCAAGCATAAACTGAATCCAAACAGAAACAATATTCAAAACATCATGCTTTTATAAATGCACCCAAGCATTCACCAAACTCTACTTAGCACTTCAAAAAACAATGCAACAAAGCAAGACTGATGAAATTGTTTTTCTGCAGAAACAATGGTTTGTCACAAACCGCTTGAATCTGGACCAGTGCCGTTAAGCACATGTGGCAAGCCCAAATATTTTGCAAAAAGCAGCAACAGGGAGTACATATGTGGATTATTTCAAGCTTTTCAGACAAAAAAATGCCACTTCTGCTCTTCAAAAATCCAGCTAGCTCAGTTTTTCTGATACAGATAAAGACCATTCTCTTTAAGAAACGTAAGTCATAATGTAAGACTCTATTTGTCATGCTTTGGTCATCAGAACTATTGAACTAATGCAAATTGGTAATCACTGGAAAGCATAGTATTTGTATAATTTCATAGTGGGTGGCTGAATATACATTACAGATACGAAATGCTTTGCAGTGCAAGTCTGAATTATTTGTCTACTGAAAATACATACAAACCCATGTTCCATAACTTAGAAAATGAAGCAAAGATTTGAATTCAGAATAAAAGCAGCAGATTCAGCAAACAAAATAAAAGCAAATTTTGAATTAAAATAAGGATATTGATGATGCTAGCAACAGGAAACAAAGAGAATAGAATTAATTAAAAACAGACATGAAAAATTACTTGCAGATATGTAAGGAATATTACACTGGAGAGAAGCAATACCCATTCCATTCTGAGCAAATCTAACATTAACTGTTATGTGCGACAAGTAATACAGTGCCATTAAATTTGTTTAATACATACATTAAAAACTTGAAGGGAATCAAGCTGACCCATGCAGTCTCCTATCTTTAAATATAACTTAGCACGAAGATTGCATAGCCCTAGCAAAGCCTCTAGGTTCTTTCTTTCTCTGAAGGCATGAGAACAAGTTTATATTCTGTGACACCTGCACAGATATCACTAATACTGCTGCTCCTTATGTGGGAAGTTTTCCGTGGATGCTGCAGGTAAAAACTAGCAGGATGCTTACCCAGCCTGCTACGCCTTATCTCATCAGGTGAGACTGGACGTAACTTCCTCTCTGCCTTGATTTCCTCCAGTATCCTTTCGTGAAGGCTGCGTGGCCGCGGTGGGGTTGGTTTCAGTTTTCTTGCTGAGGCCTCAGGATATAAAGATAATCGTATTTACATAAAATAGTGCTTCCTTGAAATCAGATGTCACACTTTTTTGGACAAAAATGTGGAATGTTGTGATACCATCTTACATGCATTCAGTTGTAAAACTCGCATAAGTTTTTCCCCAATTCATCATTATTTCCCAGAAACAAGGGGCTGGTAATAACAGCTATTAATTGGTAGGTGCAAGATATTATACACTGTTCTTTTAAGATAATGTGTTCCACATAGAGAAGACAATATTTTTTAAAGCCCTTGTCAGAAAACGTAATATTTAACATACTCCCTGGACACAAATGTGCTTTAAAAAGCCATGCTTTTGTTAGGAATGGAGTTCACTGGATTACATACAGGATTTAATGGAGGTCGCGATCGGATGAAATCCAGGATTATTTCATGGGCGCTCTTTTTTAATCGAGGTGGAATGTCACCATTGACCTGGAAAACAGAAAGTGAAATACATATTTCCATATTTTGCATTCATATTCATGCAGATGATAAGATCAATTGAAAACTCACAACAACCCTGACAGAGCTTGCAGTGTTCTGACACCTGCACCAGCCATAAAATCCCAGCAGTCCTAAGCAGAGCAATAATCCATATGCAAAGCACAGGCAAGCTAAAACATAGCTAACAGCTTTTCAGCTTTGCAGACAGCTGCAGAATAACCACAACTGCCACAGCTTTAATCAGCAATACTTAGGATTTTGAAATTATGAAAAAAAAGTCAAGGCTACAGTTGTGTCTGTAGGAGAATGCAGATGAAGACTATCTTGCTTGGAGGAAAAGTTGCCAAAACCATTTTTAAGAATAACTATTTGAACCATTAAACAGACTCTAATACTCTGGGTTTAGCCTCTGTGAAAACAAGGATGCTCTTTAAGGCCCCAGTATTCTTGATCTCTTTACCATCTCCCAAGCACTAATGTCAATGCAAACCTAGATCTCACACAATCACCAATGACTGGCTTGTAGCAGTGGATGAAAAACATGTTTCCATTGGTTTTGTGGCTTTACCACCTGTCTCTGCAGCTATGGCCATGAAGAGGTGTTCTTGTGTGTAAATCCCAGCAAAAGAAGAGGGAAGCTATGATTTCATAGCTAACTCAACACCTGCGCTTTAAAGATTACTCAAGTATAAAACTCAGTTTGTTAATATGTCCACAAAATAAACCACCAGAATGCCATAGCAGGCCACTGGAAGCACAGGAGGCACGTTTCCTTGCTGTAAACCATGTATTTCTGTAGAAAAGGGGTTGGGGGAGTTTTGGTTCCTTGTTCTGTTGGTTTTCTCTGAAGAGACAGATGTTTCTTTCTCTCATACCTCATTTAGGCAGAAGAATTAGAAATTCACTCTATGTGCAGGACATAAAAGAAGGCAATGGATTTTTTTTCTATCATATGAAGAATTTATAAATTGTAAGATGGGAATAAGTGTCTGGATTTCCTTAAAAAAATCCACCCGTTATGTTCAGTTTTCATACAGTGAAGTGCTGAAGCATGCTGTCAGGGATGAGACAGCATCTTATGCCATACATCCTTCTAGTACCTTCTATTACCACACAGTAGCTGGCTATCAGCCCTATCTTCCAATCTGACAGAAATTCCCATGACGCCATATTTCTTAGATCAAGTCTCCCCTAATTTCACCACCTTTATATATATATAT